AAAGGCATTTGACAAAGTCCAACATCCATTCTTAATAAAAACTCTCAACAATATAGGAATAGAAGCGAAATTCCTCAATGTAATTAAGGGCATTTATACAAAGCCAACAGCCAACATCATCCTAAATGGAGACACTTTGACAGCATTCCCCTTGAGAACGGGAACCAGACAAAGAGGCCCTTTATCACCACTTTTATTCAACATTGTGCTGGAGGTCCTAGACAGAGCAATTAGGCTAAAAAAAGAAATAAAGGGCATCCAAATTGGTAGGGAAGAAGTCAAAGTATCTAAATTTGCAGATGATATGATCTTATACACAGATAACTCCAAAGAATCCACAAGAAAACTACCGGAACTAATAGAAGATTTCAGCAAAGTTTCAGTATCCAAGATAAACATACAAAAATCAGTTGGATTCCTTTACACCAACAAAGAAAACCTTGAAGAGGAAATCACCAAATCAATACCATTTAGCATAGCCCCCAAGAAGATAAAATACTTAGAAATAAATCTAACCAGAGACGTAAAAGTTCTATACAATGAAAACTACAAGACACTACTGCAGGAAACTAAAAGAGACCTGCATAAATGGAAAAACATACTTCGCTCATGGATAGGTAGACTCAACATTGTGAAAATGTCAATTCTACCAAAAGCGATTTATAGATACAATGCAATTCCGATACAAATTCCACCAGCATTTTTTAATGAGATGGAGAAACAAATTACCAACTTCATATGGAAAGGGAAGAGGCCCCGAATAAGTAAAACATTACTCAAGAAGAACAAAGTGGGAAGTCTCATACTACCTTATTGTATAACCTATTATACCACCACGGTAGTCAAAACAGCCTGGTACTGGTACAACAGATACCAATGGGACAGAATTGAGACTCCAGACATAATTTCATCCACTTATGAGCAGCTGATATTTGACAAAGGCCCAAAGCCCATCAACCGGGGAAAAGACAGTCTCTTTAACAAATGATGCTGGCATAACTGGATATCCATATGCAAAAAACTGAAACAAGACCCATACCTTACAACATGCACAAAAACTAACTCAAAATGGATCGAAGACCTAAATATAAAATCAAACATGATAAATATCATGGAAGAAAAAATAGGGACAACACGAGGAGCCCTAACACCTGGCATAAACATAATACAAACCATAAGTAACAATGCACAAGCTCCAGAAAAGAGACTAGATAAATGGCAGTTCCTAAAAATCAAACACTTATGCTCATCAAAAGACTTCACCAAAAGAGTCAAAAGACAACCTACAGACTGGGAAAAAAATTTTGGCTATGACAAATCCAATCAGCGTCTAATCTTTAAAATCTACAAGATTCTGCGAAACCTCAACAACAAAAAGACAAATAACCCAGTTAAAATATGGGCAAAAGATATGAACAGGCACTTTGCCATAGAAGATATTCAGGCAGCTAACAGACACACGAAGAAATGCTCACAATTATTAGCCATTAGACAAATGCAGATCAAAGCTACAAAGAGATATCATTTCATCCCAACAAGGCTAGCATTAATCCAAAAAACACAAAACAATAAATGCTGGAGAGGTTTTGGAGAGACTGGAACACTTATACACTGTTGATGGGAATGTAAAATTGTACAACCACTTTGGAAATCGATTTGGCGCTTCCTTAAAAAGCTAGAAATAGAAGTACCATACGATCCAGCTATCCCACTCCTTGGAATATATCCTAGACAAATAAGAGCCATCACAAGAATAGATACATGCACACCCATGTTCGTTGCAGCACTGTTCACAATAACAAAAAGATGGAAACAACCTAGGTGCCCATCAACAGATGAATGGATAAACAAATTATGGTATATCCACACAATAGAATACTACACAAAGATAAAGGACAATGATGAAGCCAGGAAACATCTTACTACATGGAGGAAGCTGGAACTTATTATGCTGAGTGAATTTAGTCAGTCATAGAAGGACAAATATTGTATAAGACCACTATTATAAGAGCTCAAGGCAAGGTTTAAACACAGAAGAAAATGTTCTTTGATGGTTACAAGGGTGGGGAGGGAGGGTGAGGGTTATTTACTAACTAAATAATAAATAAGAATTATATTAGGTGAAGGGAAGGACAGCACACACTAGAGGGCAAGTCAGCACAACTGGACTAAACCAAAGCTAAGAATTTCCTTAATACAATCAAACACTTTGAGGGACAGAGTAGCAGGGGTAGGGGTTTGGGGACCATGCTTTCAGGGGACATCTAGGTCAATTGGCATAACAAAGCTTATTAAGAAAATGTTCTGCGTCCTACTTTGGTGAGTGGCGTCTGGGGTCTTAAAAGCTTGCAAGCAGCCATCTAAGATGCATCAATTGGTCCCAGCCACCTGGAGTAAAGGAGAACGAAGAACACGAAAGACACAAGGAAAGTAGTAGCCCAAGAGACAGAAAGGGCCACATAAACCAGACACTTCATCAGCCTGAGACCAGAAGAACTAGATGGTGCCCGGCTACCACCAATAACTGCCCTGACAGGGAACACAACAGTGATTCCTGGATGGAGCAGGAGAAAGGTGGGGTGCAGAACTCAAATTCTAGTAAGAAGACCAGACTTAATGGTCTGACTGAGACTGGAGGAACCCCGGAAACATGGCCCCTGGATTCTCTATCAGTCCAGAACTAAAATAATTTCTGAGGCCAACTCTTTAGACAGGGATTGGACTGGACTGTGGGACATAAAGTGATACTTGTGAGGAGTGTGCCTCTTAGCTCAAGTAGATACAAGAGACTAAATGGGCAGCTTCTGTCCGGAGTTTAGATGGGAAGGCAGAGAGGGTTAGGAGCTGGTTGAATGGACATGGGGAATCGGGTGGAAAGGAGGAGTGTGCTGTCACAGTATGGGGAGAGCAATTAGAGTCACATAACAATGTATGTATAAACTTCTGTATGGGAATAAATAAAAAAATAAAATAAATTTAAAAATTAAAGTAGTTATGACCTCTAAGAAACTATGGTGTTATAGAGTCGTTAGTAGAAGCATATGAATAATTGAAATAAGAAGTAGGAAATGATAACTAACTGCCATAATGTAAGTATAATAAATTATGGTCATGAGAGTACTAAGGGAGGCTTTTCTAGAAATTGTGGAGGTGCACTAAACCTAATTATAATCGAAAAGAGAACTCTGGGTGGTAATTGTGGAGAAAAGGCACAGAGATTGAAAAGAATAGCCTGTGAAGATGAAACAGGGCCTAATTATGTTTGGCTAGAGCACCAGATGAGTGAGGTACTAGCAGAGAAACATGTAAAGCAGGTCAAGGAGTTGGGTTCCACTTTGCATGTAGTAGGGAGCCATTGAAGGTTATGAGCAGAGAAATAGTGGAGCTATTATTTTAGATTAACTTGGCAGTTGTGTGTTAGGTAGCTCAATACAAATTTTGCTTAATATTCTTCTAAACTTCATATGACAATATTTATAATGTTGTACTGTACAGTGAGAGTAATGACCTCTGCTAGAAGAGGAGGGGAGGGAATCCATGTTCATTGGAGCACTGATTTTGTACCAAGGATTGTACTTGCATTTCATTATGTTATTTCAGATAATATTTTATAATTTTTGCATATAGCCACAGTAACTTTGTGAAATATTTATGTTTAACATTTAAATTGTTAATTGCACTAAATTTACTAAGATAAGAAAGTGGACTAAGAGGCATTAAGATGTTTTGAAAGAAAGGGTTGAAATAAGGAGGGGTTGCTGAATATCAACACTCAGTTAATAATAAAGTTTAACCAAATACTTTAGACATTAAATAGTTTTTCAATGGAGAGAGGAAAGCATTTAAATGTAAAGAATGCATCTTGACTCAATTTTATATTTTATGCATTGTATAATAGTATTTTTCACAGATTTAATTTTTATTAGTAATAATTCATTCACTCAACAATGTGCTAGGCATGAGCAACTCAACAGAAATAATATGTAATAAAAATAATTTATAATAATAATATAGCCTCATCATAGTTTGCAATTTGTAAAGGGTTCTATATACAATTATCTCATTTTATCTTTATATAAGTGATACTGCTACATAGTATAGCAATTATTATCTCTACATTATATATTTAAAGAAACAAGATTCCAGGAAAGGTAAGGGGTTTGATAGGTCTCATAATAAGTAAATGATGGAACCTAGATTGGAACCTGGGTGTCCTGGCTTCTAATGTAGTGTTCTTTTTCTAAAAAAAATTAATTTATTACTATTTTTTGATCGTGATAAGTATATATATGTAAAAAATCATCTGCCTTCACATGTACAATTCAATGACATTATGCTTATCATGTTGTTCAACCTTTACCATTATCAGTTCCCAAATTTTCCCATCACCCTTAACAGAAGCTCAGTGTCCCCTAAGCAGTGAGTCTCCCTTTTCCCCCTCTCTCCCACTCACCCCTGGTAACCACTAATAAACTTTGGTCTCTATATACTTGCCTATCCTAGATATTTCATATAAGTGGAATCATACAATATTTATCTCTTTGTGACTGACTTACTTCCCTCAACATAATGTTTTCAAGGTTCATCCATGTTGTAGCATGTATCAGGACTTCATTTCTCTTTATGGCTGAGTAACATTCCATTGTATGTACATACCACATCTTGCTTACCCATTCATCTGTTGATAGGCATCTGGGCTATTTCTATCTTTTGGCTATTGAGAATACTGCTGCAATGAACATTGGTGTATAATGTGGTGTTCTTCCTATTGTACTTGCTTTATAATGAAATATGTAAGTGAATTGCATTTGGCTTTCATGATTTAAGTAAAACTAATAATTAATTTTTTATTACTTCTATCAGGTATCTCCACACATCAAAGGCTTTCTTAAGTGTTTTTTAGAGCTCTTCCCCATCCCACTGCTTACTCTAGCACTCACACACACGCACGCACACAAACACACACACATAAACACACACACACACACACTTTTACTTACCCAGAGACTCAGGTTGGGTCTGACTCTTCATGATGCTGCTCTCCTGCTCTGACACCTCTCTATTGTAGGGGTCTGAGGGTTTCATACTACTCAAATTAGAATCCTTCACATCACTAGCATCAGGCTGACTGGTATCTGAAAGTTCATCTTTGGTCTCATCATCTTGCATAGACTTTAACCAAGCCTCATTCACAAATATTATTCTGTCTTCAGTTTCAATATCTAGCCAATGTAAATAAGATCCATGAGATACAATACTAGAAAAAATTCAATTATAAAATGCAAGAATGCCTATCATTTCCTCCATACGGTATACCTTTTTGGTGCTTGGCCTTTTGACTGTTCATTTTCATGATGTGTTGCTGCCTTATCTGTTTAGCAAATCTGGCAGGGTTGTCCCATGGTATGTCGAAGATCTCAGAATCTGTTCCACTCATCATCCCAGAAGGCTTCAGTTTTCCTGCTTCATCAACCTCAGAGAGTTTCAGGCTCTCAAATGTGAATACCTTGAAGGCCCGTTCTACTTCATTCCAGCTCAAGACTTCTGTAAGAAAGAAGGAGCCATGCTTCTAGGAATGCACTTATTACCATATACAGGGTTTACAGGGGGGCAACCAGGGATCTTTTCAGGCCAGACTGACAAGAGAGTCACACCATGATGGGTGTGCACCTGACTTTAAACATTTGCCCCACAATTCTGCATCAACTATCAAAGGTATCTAGTAATCAAAAAGCTACATCAAATATAATTTTTGAGGTAATGCTCCCAAACTACGTCATAGCCTAATCAATATTAGGTGTCCAGATTAATATACATGAGATTTCCAGGGTACCCTATTGGTTTTAAATTTAACATTTTTGACCAAAAGTACCCTTTGCTGCTGTAATAATTTGAAACAGAGAAATTATTCTCTTGTGTCTAACATAGACTGTTAACCCATATGCACAGGTGTGGAACTTTCCATAATTCCACTTCAAAGTTTATTGGCTTTCAACGTATTCTATTCATTTGTGCATTTAGTCTTTTACAGCATTCATTCCTCCATTCACTGATTATTGTTTTCTATGTGTCAGGCTTTGTCAGCCAAGCCAAAACCCATTGCTGTCGAGTCGATTCCAACTCATAGAGACCCTATAGGTTAGAGTAGAACTGCCCCATAGGGTTTCCAAAGCTGTAAATCTTTATGGAAGCAGGCTGCCACATCTTTCTTTCACAAAGCAGCTGGTGGGCTCGAACTGCTGACCCTTTGGTTAGCAGCCAAGTGATTAACCACTGTGCCACCAGGGCTCCTTGTGGCTTTCTCATAGGTACATGGGATTCAAAGAAAAATCAAGATTTGGTTCTTGCACACTAGAAGTTCAAGGTAGAGGATGGGAGGTAGGGATTAAAAACTGTACGTGAACTTCAATGAGAGAAAATACAGTGATCATGGCAGATCAATCATTCAGAGGTCACCTCTTCTTTTCAATAGACATGAGGGCAGTGAGAGAGCCCCTTTCAGGAAAAAAAACATAAGGAGATTCAGAAGAGAGACAGGGAAGAGGCAAAAGAATTCCAGAATAAAGGAGAGTTTGCTAATTCATTCATTTCAAAATAGTTTTTAAGCAACTATTGTATCTCAGAGATCATAATTAAAGCTGGGAACACAGCAGTGAACAAAGCAGTGAACATATTCCTGCTCTTACGGAGTATCCACTCTAGTGGGTGGGAACAGATAGTAAAAGATAAGTGTATGATATACCAGAAAAGATAAAGAAGAATAAAGCTGGGTGAAGGGATAAGAAGTGATAATGGTTGGAGAAGGGGCTTCTATTTTATATAGTCGGAAAAAAAATCCTCTGAATAGTTAAGCAAAAATATGAAAGAAATGGGGGAGCAAGCCATATGGATATCTGGGAGAAAAGTTTCAGGGTAGAAGAAATATGAAGCGCAAAGGTCTTGAGACGGGTGTTCTTGACACGTTCAAAGAATTGCAGTGAGGCCAATGCAAGGAGAGTACAGTGGAACAATGAGAGATTGACAGGTGATGAATTTGAAAAGTGGGTGGCGGACAGCTTGGATTTTACTCTGAGTGAGGTGGGAGGCCACTAGTGGGTTTTGAGTTGAGAAGGCACATGATCTGACTAACATTTTAGAAGGACAATTCTGGCTGTTGTGTGAAGAAAAGACTGTAGGTAAAAAGGTGGAAGCTGGTAAACCAGTTGGAAAGCTATTGAAATAGTCCAGGTGAGAGCTAATAGTGGACTAGGATGGAATGGTAGTGAGGGATGTTGCGGGGTTGGTTTGGGGTGGGAAAAAAAGAGGAATCAAGGGTGACTCCAAGGTTTTGGCAGAAAATAGTTGCCATTTACTGAAACAGGGAGTACTGTGAGGGGACAAATTTGAGGGGGAATCAAGAGTTTGGTTTTGGATCTACTAAGTATGAGATGATGAAAGAGAAAAGAGGAAGGGTCAAGGGTTTAGGATTTGACAAGAAGGTGGGATATGTGTGAGATTTCAGTGGTGGCAGCAGAAATAAGAACCCTGAACTGTATGTAGAACTTAAGGAGAGAGAGAATGGAATTATATTATAAGGCCAAAGGAGAAATGGAGTTTGGCAGGATAAAGGGAAAGGGCAGATGTTCTGAGGTGCATTTAGAAGAGTGTAGCTCTGTAAACATGAGACTCAACAAATCCAAGTCCACTAGACTGTACCCTGCAATTCCATGAGGTGATGGTATGACAGTATTCAAAAAATTCTGGCTTTTTCCATTACTAACCCTACTTAAAAATGGATAAAGAAAGCAAGATAGAAATTTTTGGCAATTTTGTTAGGGTTAGAAATGAGCAGGAAGAATCTGCATATGCTTTTCTCTTTTCTAGGTCAAATGCGTTCTTGCCAAACAAAGATGTCCATGTAATTTAACTTTCCTTTTTTTTTAAGGAGCAACACATCAGAATATTGCCTCAAGTGGGAAATAGAATTTGTTTGGGAAATGATGGCCTATATCATAAAATCCCAGTGAACTCTATGTCGAGAAGCTGATTCCAGATGTTCTTAATGACGCTTCCTCCCATTGTCCTTAAAGAGTATAAAATGGGCCTTCCAGTTGTAAGGGTAGGTTAACTTGAATCAACTCACTGTCAGCACCACACCAACAAAGGACTCTCTAATAATTGTATCCCCAGGCCTAGGGCCAATTACAGCATATAAAGGGTGCTCACTACATGCAGATTGGACCATCAAATCTCTACTGTGATTTTCTTCCTCTCTCCTGCTCATTGATGTAGGGGAGATAAAGAGACCAGAATGCTAGTCTTCACATTTCCACTATTGTTATAATTTTAGGGCAAACGATTTTTTTTTTTTTTAATTGTGCTTTAGGTGTATGTTTACAGAGCAGACTAGTTTCTCACTAAGCAATTAATACACATATTGTTTTGGAACATTGGTTGCTAACCCTGCAACATGTCAACACTCTCCCCTTCTCGACCTCGGGTTCCCCATTTCCGTTCGTCTAGCTTTCCTGTTGCCGCCTGCCTTCTCATTCTTGCCCTGGGGATGGTGTGCCCATTTAGTCTCGTATATGTGGCTGAGGTATGTATATTACTGTTTGTTTTATGGGCCTGTCTAATCTTTGACTGAAGGGTGAACCACAGGAATGACTTCAGTACTGAATTAAAAACGTGTCCGGGCACCATACTCTCACGGTTTCTCCAATCACTGTCAGATCAAATAAGTCTGGTATTTTTTTGTGAGTTTGAATTTTGTTCTACATTTTTCTGCATCTCTGTCTGGCACCCTTTATTGTGATCCCTGTTACAGCAATCAGTGGTGGTAGCCAGGCACCATCGAGTTTTGCTGGACTCCATCTGGTGGAGGCTGTGGTACTTGTGGTTCAATAGTCCTTTGGACTAATCTTTCCCTTGTGTCTTTGGTTTTATTCATTCTCTCTTAGGGCAAATAATTTAACCTCCCAGTATTTCAGATATCTTATCTGAAAATAGATTTGGACTAGATTAATTCCAACGTTCCTTTTGGTTAGAAAAATTTATGGTTCTATGATTCATCCTTCATAAAAAATGAATTCCTGGATAGGAGTATTGTTCTCAGAATTTGACCTCAGGGTTTCTGAGTAGCACAGGCTACAAAATATCCATATCTGCCTCCTAGGTCAAATTCTCTCTTATTCACTTCCCATCCTTCTGTGTGGAGGTGGTCAGAGGAAGTGCTGATGTTAGTTTTAACCTGTGAACATTTCTGCCAAATTCAGATTATCTGAACCTTCTTTTTCTCTTAGAAAAGTAAGGGCTATGGAGAGAAGGAAAAGGAAGAGACACAGGAAAATTTCCTTAATATAATATTTCCTTCCTAAATAGTAAGAGGGACATAGTTGAAAGTGGGCTTGTTCTGAATAAAGTACTTTGTAAGTATCTTTCTTGTTTCCCTCCCTTATGAAGGTTCCAGAACAGAATATGGGAGGCAAAGAAGCACGGGGAGAGCGGACAAAAAATTGGGACAAATCAAACCGACAGAAGAGAGATTTTCTATGAAAAACAGCTCCCCCTACTCTTCTTGTTTTTTCACTCTCTGTCTCTAATTGCCATTTACCCTCTCAACTAGTGAAAAAGCGGCTAGTTTCTAATCAGAACACCATACTTTTGTGTTACACTCTTGTAAGCTGGGTGCCAGAGGAATATGTCTCAGAGCAGAGTTTTTCAAACTTAGATTTTGTAAAAACAGCGTGGAGGTGGTGTCTGAGCTCCTCTCACTTCCCAAGGGGGAAAGAGAATCAAGATCAACAGCCCAAGCCTAATTCCTGTGAGGTGGAGGTCAGACATGCCTCCACCCTCCAACTTTTTTTTACTAATTCTAACATCAGGTGTCCCTCCCACAGGACTCTCTACTTTGAGTTTGATAATTCATTGCAATGGCCACACAGAACTCATAGACGATACTGACGATTACGGAGTTTATTAGGGAAGTAACAGGTTACAATTCAGGAACGCTCAGGATACAGTTCTTTGGTCAGGACAGCCTGTTCCCAGCTGTGCCTGTAGGCACACTCTGCCTGGCCCCTTGGCCTCTACTCTGCTCAGGCAAGTGTTACAAAGCTCTTTTAGCTTTGCTGATAAATGCCCCGATGCACCCCACTCTGCCAGTAAGCCTTGCCCCAAAGGCACTCAGCTCTAGCTCCTTGGGTCACCAAACCTAGCTCCACCAAGTGACCAGAGGCACCCTACTCTGCCAGTAAGCCTCCTGCCCGAAGGTACTCAGCATTCTCGCTCTGTGGGCTAAGCCATCTTCTGCCGGTCTCCTGGTTCTGCTGCTGCTGTTTCTCTGCAGCTGCTTCTCGCCGTCTTCAGTGTTACAGCTGTCTCTCTCTCTCAGTCTCCTGGTTCCAGGAGCTTTTCAGTGCAAGGATCCCGGGCCCAAAAGGTACACTTTGCTTCTGGCTCTTCTTCCTTGGTGGTGGTGAGATCCTCTCTTCCTGCCTCTGGGATGACTCATTTTAAGCCTAGTGGGATGGAAAAACTGGCCAGTCCTCTTGGTAGGTCACAGTTACCTTATTTGCACAGTCTAGCCCAATCACTTGGGTGGGAGTTATAAGACCATGGCGAGAAAGTCCACACCAAAGTGATCCATAGCACTGAAGATTTCATGACCTCAGAGAAATAAGTAGATATCAGAGTTCAAGATGTTGCTACAATAATTTGTTTAATTTTGTTTTATTTTAAATTTTATTGAGTATGGAAAAAATACACAAGCATATTTGAACACATGATTGGATTAATAAGAAAATGGTGATCGAAGCTGTAAGTCAATCAATGGGGAGATATACCAAGTTTCCTCTTTAAGAAGTGGTGATCTCATTGAATTAGTGTTTCTTCCTCTTTGTTCTTCAAGATAGGGTACTGTTATAGTCTTATATCATCATAAATTTCCTAATCTACTGCACAGGACTACTCAATAATTAACTTTTGCACTGGAATATAATGCTTTGATCTTTTTTTTTTAGAGGCATCTGCCCACACAGGGTGGCGCAAATGGTGAAGCACTCAACTACTAAACAAAAGGTTGGTGGTTTGAACCCACCCAGATGGTGCCTCAAAAGAAAGACCTGGCCATCTGCTTTTCAAAGATCACAGCCTGGAAGCCTCTATGGAGCACAGTTCTACTCTGACACACATGGGATTGCTATGAGTCAGAATTGACTCGATAGCAACTGGAAAAAAAAATACATACGTATATATTTTAATGTTATGTCTCATCTACTGATTAAGACTGGATATTATTCGTGAGTGAGGCTGCCTTGTGATAAGAGATACCAAGGGTTTACTAGAAGAATTTAAGATGCGAATTCAGACAGATATCTCTGAATGGGGCAAAGTTGCATTGTCAGGCTTGCTCTTCCCACTTTCCAGATAATGTCTCTGCAGTGTTATTGTAATACTTGTGCGATTTTCAATGATGATAAAGAGGTGGAGTGAAGAGGCAGTGGAGGGGAGCAGGGCATTGTCCTGGGAAAAGATTGTGACATTTTGGGATGGGAGGTTTTTTGCTTATTTATTTAAAAAATATGTTATTTTTAAAATATATGAACCTTTAATCCTCTTAGCTAGGATAGGGATTACCACATCAGTTCCACTGATGTCAGTGCGGAGATGTGGTGGGGAGGGAGGGAAAGAGGGAATTATTCTGATTGTGGTAACACAGTGGAAAGAAAACCCAGTGAATCAAATTGAGGAATGTATGTTATGCATCATAGCTATCATATCATTATTAATGACGTTATTCAAGATAAGAAAGTTGTAGTCAATCAAAACACCCACCTCAGCCTCTGAAAGTTCTTTCAATAATCAAAAACTACTTTTTGCAAATAAAAGTGCAATATTATGAGGCACATCTGACCATTAATGAGTGAGTTTAGGCTAAGACAAAGGGAAGTACTCACCACTTGTACAAAAGTGCATGAGCTCATGAATTGTAGCTAGACGTTTAGTGCTGTTCCACGGTGGGGGCAGTGGGAATTGAAGGAATTCCCACAGTGGCAACTTGGACTGCATCTCCTGCTCAATTTGAACTGGGTCAAAATTCTTTTGGTCCTGATGAAAAAGAGCAACATGACAGAAGACATTAAGGTAAGCTGTCAAGTGCCTTATGCATATGGAGAAGGCTAAACATGATACCCTCACTCTCATTATTTGGGAACAGGGGAAATCAATGGAAATTGGGGAAGACAAACTGTTGGTATTTTGATGAATGTCAAAAAAGTGAGTTCCCACTTTGCCAGAAGTTTCTGGTGCACTAAAACAACTGGTTCTTCATTCACAGTTACAAACTGTCAAGTCCTCATCTATATTCATCTCCTTTCTGAGTTTCTTTTCTGGTCTCCACTAGTTTTTTAGGATACTTAACGATACTTAAAGGAAATAACTATAAGGTTTTAATACAACTTTGGTGATAGTCACAATTCATTTAATGGCTAACTGGACTTTATAATAAGGCATGTTTTCTATGCCGACATAATTTCTCCCTTATTCATTTCCATTTTCTCTGAGATCCCACTTTTCAAGCAGGTATCCATTTTGGACAGTACTTTATTTTATTTTTTGTTTATTGTTATAGTTTAAGTGAAATTTTACATTTCAAGTTAGTTTCTCATACAAAAATTTATACACACATTGTTATGTGACCCTACTTGTTCTCCCTGTGCTGTGACAGCACACTCCTCCTTTCCACCTGATTTCCCAGGTCCATTCAACCAGCTCCTGACCCTCTCTGCCTTCTCATCTCACCTCCAGGTAGAAGCTGCCCATTTAGTCTCACGTTATCTACTTGAGCTAAGAAGCACACTTTTCATGAGTATCATTTTATGTCCCACAGTTGGATAGTACTTTTACGGAGCATTAATTAAGTTGATCTAATTAAGATTTCTTCAACTGAATAATTGCGAATGTGCTCTCTTGTATCAGTTCCCCTTAGGGTAATCTCATTACTTTTACCTTTAGTGCATACTTCTTGTGGGCAAGTGCATCATGGTAGTTCAGTAGGAGAGGGCCTTTGGGCACCACTTTGCTTTCGTTTTCTTCTTCGGATAATAATATCTCGTGGAGATTCTATTTAAATCAAAATAATAGCACTTTAAAAAGGGAATCCATACTTTTTCAAAGCATAAAAGCTCTTGGATATCTCATGCTCCCTCACCTTTTTCTCCCTCTCTGAGAGACAGAGAGAGGGCAGGATGGACACCATGTGAGCTGCAATTCTGTGGTCTAAGCCATCTGCTCTGGGGAGTGGCTCCACCAGGCTAGGGGGTACAAGATCTTCTTCAGTTGCCACAACCTGTTGAGAGGAATTGACTTAATGGTCAGCTCTTTACTGATACTCACATATTTCCATTGCTGTTAGTAATAACAAGCCAGTTTTTATCAGTAAAGTACCCGTGATTATACAAAACGTCAGAGAAGTGTCAGTGATTACCAAAATAAAAGGGAAAACGTTTGTGATCCATGCATTAAGGTAGATATAATCTTAGCTTATGATCCATCCTACGGCTTGATCTTTCTGCTTCCTATGTCCCATTTTATAATTATAATATCTAATCTCAGTTGGATCTTCAAATCAATTTTTCAAACATTTCCCTTTTATTTTGAGAATTAAAACTTACAGAAAAGTTGGACGATAGTACAAGGAATACCTGTAAACCCTTCAGCTAACCCATTTCCGTCGAGTTGATTCCAACTCATAGTGACCCTATGGGGTAGAACTATAGAGTAGAACTGCCTCATAGGGTTTCCAAGGCTGTAATCTTTATGGAAACAGATTTCCAAATCTTTCTCCCTCGGAGCAGCTGGTGGATAGGAACTACCGACCTTTCAATTAGCAGCTGAGTGCTTAACCACTGCATCACCAGGGCTCCTTACTCTTCAACTGGATTTACTAATTGTCAATATTTTCCCATATTTGCTTTGCTCTATCTATGTATTATTATTATTATTATTACTGATGAACAATTTGAGAATAAGTTGCAGGCATCATGACCCTTCACTCCTATATATTTCATCACGTATCTCCTAAGAATAAAAACACTCTCTTACATAACAATACAATGACCAAAATCAGCAAATTTAACATTGATAAAATACTTTTATCTAGTATATGGTCTGTTCGAATCTGTCAATATTACCAGTAATATCCTTTATAACAATTTTCCCGATCTAGATTCCAGTCTAGGATCATTCATTGCATTCAGTCTCCATGTTTCTTTAGTCTCCTTTAACACGGAATAGTTCTTTAGCCTTCTTCAGCTTTCATGATATTTTGGAAGAATACACTTTAGAATGTCATTTTAGGTTTATTTGATCTATTCCTCCTGATTATATACAGATTATGCATTCTTGGAAGGAATTTCATGTAAGTCCCTCTCACACTCTATCATCTCTGTAATCTTAGTACGCATCAGCATGCATCCAAAGCATACTCAACAGTAAATTTATAGCCTTAAGTACATTTATTAGGGGGAAAAAAAAGACTGAAAATAAATGAAGTAAGCTCTTCATGCAAAAATACGGATATTAAAATGCAAAATAAGCCCAAAGAAAGCAGTAAGAAGGAAATAATGAAGATAAATGAATAGTTTAATGAAATAAAAAAAAAAAAGTTGATCATTGAACAAAACGATGGTTCTTTAAAAAAAAAGAAAATATATACCATTGACAACCATGATTAAGAAAGGAGAAGGCATAGGTAAACAACATGTATCATATGAAAAGGAACATAACTGGATACACAGGAAATTTAAAAATTCATGTATATAAATAGTATAAAGAACTTTATGCCATATTGCTCACCTAAATAAAGAGGACATTTATAAGAAAAATACTAATGACTAAAACTGTCCTCAAAATTCAATAAACCTGATTAAATCTTTAGCTACAAAAGAAATTTTAAAGGTTGTTAAAAAGATAATCAAAGATTCCCTGGGTAGCATAAATGGTTAAACGCTCAACTACTAGCCAAAATGTTGGCAGTTCCAACCCACCTAAAGGTGGCTCAGAAGACAAGCCTAGTGATCTGCTTCTGAAAGGTCACAGCCTTGAAAACCCTGTGGAGCCGTTCTACTCTGCACATGTGGGGTCGTCATGAGTCGGAGTCTACTTGACGGTAATCAACAACAAGGACGAAAGACCTAATCACTACCCTACCTCCCCTGCCAGACTCTTCTTCCTCTGCCATCTAAAACAGCACCAGTCCCAGATAGTCAGAAGGATATGGTCTACCAAAACTTCAGAGAATGTTATATAAACTCTTCCAGAGCGTAGCAAAGGAAACGAGGATTGAGGCTGATGATCAAAGCAAATTTTAGTTTTATCTGAAATGTTTTGATCTTTGTAAAGAAGAATGCATTCGGGTATTATGTGTGTAATTTTAAAATAATTTTCTTTTAAAAAGCAAAGCTAAGAGGGGGAAAGTGACTTACTCAGTTTACCATCTGGACAAAAGCCTCAGTACACCCACCTGCTCAAGCATACAATGCACTATCAGGGGCACAGAAATGAATTCCTCTGGAACTGGATTCAACAAATCATTGTAATATCTCATGTCTACTTCAGTTGTGTTGACGAAAGTCACTATAAATATAGAAAATACCGTTGTCCAATTAACGTGTGCTCTCCATTTCTTCCATCAAAATTTCATTCACAAATTCAAACTATGACCATGCAGTAATAAATGCAGAAACTGTAGGTCTGAACACAATATTGAGAGCATTCATCTTTCCTTAAAGCATCAGCTCATGGTGTTGACCCTCCAGCAACAGGTTTCATACATGCCTGGTGGTGGAGCTTGCCGTTCTTCATATTGTGTTTTCTTCTTTCCAGCTGTTGCAGCAACAGGTTGTGGTGCCTAAAAGAAGAATAATTGAAAAGAAACAACTGAGATATCCAGCTGAGAGATGCTTTCAAATGCTGGTGTGAAAACATTCAACAGAATTCTGAAATTGTATAATTACGATCACACCATGAGATTATCTGTCAATCTTAGGATCAGAGAAAAGGGTTTTTGTCTGACAAAGGAAAGAAGATAATAGATATGGACACATCCCAATTTTCCCTAACAAAGCTTACTGAGAGATTGCAGGGAAAGTGATGGGGAGATGGTCACTGAGAGTCAGAAAGTTTTTCTTCCCTGGTCACTCACAACCCTGCCACTCTCCCTCTTATGGTCCTTCACTGGTTCCCTGTTGTCTTCAGGATAAAACTCCAGTGCTTTAGCTTAGCACCAAAGGATGTTCATCACCTGGCTCCCTCCTCTCCAGCTTTAGTTCATGCTGCTCTCCACTTTGCATATATGACTTAGGAACACTGACCTACTCCATGGTCCTGGCATGGGCCATGATACTTCTTTCTTTTCACCTCCATACCTTCATATATCTTTGTCCCTTTCCTGAGAATATCACTCTGACCCTTACCCTCTTAGGCTTTTCATTAGGCATTTCACACTCAACCATCATAACATCACTTTCCTTGGTAAGTCTTTCCTGTCTTCTTTCTCTCCACTCTAGCCTCCCAGATTAGGTTAAGTGCTTTTTTTTTTTTTTTTTTTTTTTTTTCAGTTGCTTCTACCCTGGTCTGAGCCCTGAGCTGACTACTCTGAAAGCACTCAATACATTATGTTGAAAGTATTGTTGACTTGTCTGCTGCTCCCTTTATACATTAAGCTTAGTGGGGACAGAGACTGAGTCTTGTTCGTTAACATGTTGCTGGCACCTTGCACACTGCTAGCATGCCAGTTTTAACCAGTTGCCATCAAGTCAACTCCTATTCATGGCAACCCCATGTTTGTCAGAGTAGAACTGTGCTCCATAGGGTTTTCAATGGCTGATTTTTTGGAAGTAGATCACCAAGCCTTTCTTCTGAGGCACCTCTAGGTGACTTTGAACTATGATCTTTCCATTAGCAGCTGAGTATGTTAACCATTTGCACCACCCAGGGACTCCATGCTATCACATCCATTACCCATTGCCGTCAAGTCGATTCTGACTCATAGCGACCCTATAGGACAGAATAGAATTGCCCCATAGGGTTTCCAAGGCTATAAATCTTTATGTAAGCAGACTGCCACATCTTTCCCCCATGGAGAGACTGGTGTGTTCAAACTGCCGAGCACTTAATCACTGCTCCACTACGGATCCTTTGCTATCACACAGTAGGTGCTAAATAAATATTGGTCAAATAAATATGTAGTGCTGTTGTGATTAATTTATCAATATTCCTCCTTGTCCCAGATATTATTCATTGTACCCTGTGCTGAAAAGTGAGTTCCATCATCACTTTTGGGGGTGGCAGGCAGTTGGGGCACTTCATAAAATCCCACCACACATTTACCCTCCTTTCATAATGCTCCTGGGGGCCTATTTCTTTTTCACACACTCACATATTAAATCCTAGCAGGCAATATTCCCTCACTACTAGTATTCATGCAGTTTTTTTCTTCATACATTTTATAAATGTGAAAATTAGGTTGTTCGGTTAATTATTCAACCCACCAAAGACATTCAAACGTGTGCCTACCTCAGAAATCAATAAAGCTTCAAAGATAGGTTTCTCATGAACCACTTGTGGGACATTAATAAGCTGCATATTTTCCAAATAATGCTGGTGCTGCCTTTTCCAATCCAGGCTGTCATACATCAAGCAAGCAATATTTTCAAAAATAAAGGTACCCAATTCCATCTACAAGTGAGAGAATTGACAAGTAGTTATTAGTTTCAAATTGTTGGCATCAGATATATAGTTTGTGTCCCCTTAGCAGATAAATGTACCAAATTTTTATAAGGAAGAACTTCTTCAAACTCTTGAACCCCAATCTTGATGACTGAGAGTTTATCAGTAAACCCCTCTTCCCTGTCTTGTTCACTACTTGTTCTGTTACTTTTGGAAGGCCTATGGTTGTCTAATCTTGCTGTTGCTGTTAGGTGCTGTCAATTCAATTCCAACTCATAGTGACAAAATGTGTCAGAGAAGAGCTGCTGCCCCATAGAGTTTCCTAGTTTATAATCTTAATGGAAGCAGATCTCCAGGTCTTTTCTCCCACAGAGCTGCTGGGTAGGTTTGAACCACCAACCTTTTGGTTAGCAGCTGAGTGCTTAGTCATTGTACCATCAAGGCTCCTTTGCCTAATATTATAATATTAAACAATGCTTCAACTAAGTAAAAAACATCCGATTCATTAGTTTCAGCATTATGACCTATATTTTTGGTATCTCAGTTCCTAAAATAATGTTTTGCTGTTAGATGGATAATATCAATATCCCTGGTGAAAGACAAGCTATGGATGCTTTCTTTCTTTTTTTTAAGGTTCTGAAGATAGCTTTCTTTATTATTGTGTTTTGCTATTTTTTTTATTGTACTTTAGATGGACGTTAACAGAGAAAATTAGTTTCTTATTAAACAATTAATACACATATTATTGTGTGACATTGGTTGCCAGCCCCATGACGTGTCAACACTCTCCCCTTCTCTACCTTTAGTTCCTCATTTCCATTTGTCCAACTTTCCTGTTCCCTCCTGCCTTCTCATTCTTGCCCCCTAGGTTAGTGTGCCCATTTGGTCTCGCATACATGGTTGAGCTACATGTATTATTGTTTGTTTTATGGGCCTGTCTAATCTTTGGCTGAAGGGTGAACCTCAGGAGTGACTTCAGTACTGAGTTAAAAGGGTGTCCAGGGGCCATGCTCTTGGGGTTTCTCCAGTCTGTCAGACCAGTAAGTTTGGTCTTTTTTTGTGAGTTTGAATTTTGTTCTATATTTTTCTTCAGCTCTGTCGGAGACCCTCTACTGTGATCCGTGTCAGAGTAGTTGGTGGTGGTAGCTGGGTACCATCTAGTTGTGCTCGACTATGGATGATTTCTTCCTTGGCTATACAAGAACCAGAATGGAAACCACCTGCTCAGCTTTGTGTATCGTCCACCCAAGTATGCTGCAGTATACGTGCAATCAATATTTCTTCCTTTTCCTCCCTTCTTCCTTCTTTCCTTTCACCTGTCATTTTTAGGGAAAAACACTAAGAAATTCTGATAGACTACTGCTTTCTTAATACCCACAAATTTTATTAGCTGGCAAGCAAGTTATACATTGGATATCTCTATTACCTGGGCCTTAATTTCCAGAAGCAGGAAAGCACTGTGATCACTAGGTCTGTCTGCTTGAAAGCAAAGGAGGATTATATAGTTTATCCTGTGTCTGAGTTAGAGTCAAGATTTAGTGAGATAGCTTCTTGTAGGGCCAGTGAATCACATCCTGGCAGGAGTCCAGTGAGGTACACAGCTCTGCCCATTATCACAGCACACATGGTAGTCTGGGGTTTATGTGCCCACTCGAACACTGAGCATTCTTCAGTTATGCTTCAACTTCACATTCCTTGCCCAAATTCTGGCATATAAACACTTTCTGTTTGCTTGTTTGTATTTATGTGAAATATGGTAAATCTTCTGCCAAATGAGCTGTTCTTGGTTTAACCTAGTTAATTCACTTTTAAATCAAGCAGCAAATCACATGCTAAAAGCCAGCAAATTATTTCAGCAACCAAGGTCTTAACTTGAGATGCTGCAGATGTCTTATGTGAGCAGTTAGCACTTCTTGATGAGCATTTATTTGATGTAAAGTTTTCGTTACCTTGGTTCAACAGAAATACAGTCTGCTTATTTGCAGCCAAAGTTCCTAATGCTTTCCTCTGACTGCTTGGCTGGCTCTACCTTGGATATGAGGCCATTTTCAACTTACAGATACAGCAGAGCGTGCGACAGGTTTAAATGTTCACTGCAGTCAATGTTAACAGGAAGCAAGGAGTTCTTCACTTTTACAACATGTACTGAGTCTACTTCTATTAGAAGTAAATTTATCACCTTCATGTTCATTAAATGATCCTAAGCTTGAACTGAACTTTGATTTTAAAAATCAAATGCAATGACCTTTTCTTCTGGAATACTACCCTATTACTGAACCATTTTCAAGACTTTCCTTCCCCATTGTCCTCGATGCCAGCTCCTTCACTCAAACCTCAGCTTGTTGAGGTATGTCTGGGCTCTAAGGCTACTGTAGTCAGGCTGGAGGACAACCCTGGCATGAAGAAGTTGTTAAATAAATTTTGTTAATTGACTGATAGGAAATGTGACCAGCTGGGCAGCACAGCCCTAAATGGCTCTTTAGAGAGCTGAAAGTTTTCATTGCTGACAGTTATTTTCATGTCGTAATTAAACACACCCTCTACATTAGTCTTCCAGTTCTGAAGACAAGCATATTCTGCTTTAACGAGAGTATTTCAACTAAGCTAATAATATCTTTTCAACATAGGATAGGTTTTCTTTGGAGCCCAGGTGGTGTAGTGGTTAACAGCTCGAATCCACCACCCACTCCTTGGAAACCCTATGGGGCAGTTCTAATCAGCCCTATAGGGTCACTATGAGTCAGAATGGATTCAATTTAATTTCCATTGGACCTCTTCCAATCTATATTTTTTTAAAAAAACAAAATAGAGCCACTATCACTTTCCCTAAAAATAAAATGATTAAAATCTAATAAACAGAAAATCGTGGACACCAGACTAAGAAGCAAGATCATAGAAATAGTGCTGGGTCTTTCGAAGTTGCTATTTTGTGACATTCATGAACATGTCCTCATGAAGCAGTGGAATGTACTCTACCTTGAAATATACTTCAGCTCTTGTCAGCCTCTGCCTGGAGAGTGGATAAGACATACAGAAGGGAGCCCTAGCTAAAGCAGGAGCAAGAGGTACTTCATTTGATGCTACCTTAGAGGATTCTTTTTGTTATCACCTCTGAATTATGGTTCCGGCATTATATATCTGGGATGTCTTAGACTCTAGGGGAATCAAAAATGTATACAAGTTCTTGACAGGGTATGCAGCCAGGCCTTGACCCAAACGAGAGGAGGAGTGTTTCTCTGAAATAGAAATTTGTGGATATGGGTTTATTTAGACATAGACTTCATGTGCTTGGGAGAGGAAGAATAAGAAGTTGGATTGAGGTTGGATTTTAAAATTCCAAGGAAATAACCTCTCCCTCAAACGTATCTCACATTTGTTGAGTGTAATCCAGAATTCTAATAAAATAGGAAGGGATATCTTTGGGATAGGGGAACATACTGACCCAAATTAACATGAAGCAGTAAAGGACAAATGGCAGCAGATCCTTTTCAGAGATCGAGTTTAAGAGGCAGGAGAGTGAAAGGCAAAGGAGGAAGGCTGAACATATCTAGATGAAGTGGTGGGAAGAGGTAAAGCAAAGGGAGTCTAGGGTAACCAATTTTGCCCAGGACTAGCTCTGCCTTCAGCCACAGCTTTTCTATGCTCAGCTTCATTCTCAATATACAGCACTAGGCTAATATTTATTCTTGCTGTTGATAAGTTATCAGACTTAAGTGTTCTGCTTCTACATAGTGACATTTAATGCCTATGTTGCGAGTCTTAATAACTCAAACTAGTCTATCCATTGATCTTCTCTGACACTTATACAAACCCTGTCCATCCTCCAAGGTTCAGATTTGGGCCTCCCTCCTCAATATTTTCCCATACTTCATCAAGTCCACGTCCATCTCAAGGTAATAGAATCAGGGCCTCTCAAAGTCAGAAGTGGCCATGTGCCAGCCCATGGCCACGAGAATCCTACTCTTTGGCTCAGAAATTGATCCAGGCTCTGATCTCATTTTCCTCTTGGACCATCGGCTTTTTTTTTTTGTCAGCACCTACAGTCATTGCGTGGAGATGCCCCTCCACCTCCTCCATCCCACTTTGCCTGGCTCCCTTCGGGGCACTCACTTGATGTGGCACTTCTCCACGACTCTGCTTTCAGTTTAGCTACTTGATGCTGAAATACATGCCCCTGTGGGGGATTCAACACCCCTGGCCCTTGGTTTTTTGAGACAAGGGAGTCAATCAGAAAGAGACCTGAGAGATTTTCTATAACAGAGGAATGCCTGAGTACCTTCCATAACATCTGTGGTTAAGTTGTCACTTGACCTTTTCATTTTTTAAACAGCCCCATATATCTGGCATTTGCTATTTTTTTAAAGTTTCCTATTTCTTCTTTTTCTGAATTAATATGAAACTTAGAGATTGTTTCACATAACTGAGCACTTAGTTGTATACCACCTGGACTGTTGCTTTTCAGTTTCATGGTTTTAGTCTTGCTTCTCTGCAAGCTCCACCGATAGCAGAGGCCAGTAAATGCTCTCAGGAAACACGTGCTGATTGATGGGCTGAGGTCAAGCCATCCTATTAGGATATGTCTTGTTGGCCAAATATATTAAAAAAGATGATTCTGGTAATAAAAGCAAGGGCCTAGAAAAACATTATTAACTGACATATGTGTATATATAAAGACCTATACCATTGCCATCAAGTTGATCCCGACTCATAGCTGCCCTAGACAGACATGTATAATTTATTATTTGCACCATTAATATATTATATGTTAATACACTAAACACAACTAGAACTTTGTTTAGGTAAAAGATAAAGCTATGTGTCATTAATAAGAGAATTACCATCCTACATCTTCATCTATATCTTTTATTAATAATTTATTTTATTATTCTTGTTGTTGAAATATGCACAGCAAAGCATACACCAATTCAACATTTCTACGTGTACAATTTAGTGACATTGATCTCATTCTTCAAGTTGTGCAACCATTCTCACCCTCCTTTTCCAAATTATTCCCCTACCATCAACATAAACTCAATGACCACTAAGCTTCCTATATAACCTTCCAAGTTGCTGTTGTTAATTTGATCCCATATAGATAGTTCTTTAAAAGAGTACGCTGCTGAAGGTTCATCTTTATCTCACTCTTTGTCACTAATTCATGCCCTAATAGCTAAATAATGATGCCTTCAGTGTTATCATTGTTCTGAAGATAAAAGAGCATAGGATAAAGATAAAAAGCCTAGCACTTGTCCATAGTTAAAAAAAAAAAACCAAATCCTTTGCCATCGAGTCGATTCTAACTCATAGTGCCCCCATAGGACAGAGTAGAACTTCCCTATAGGTTTTTCAAGGCTGTAATCTTTACAGAAACATACTGCCACATCTTTCTCCCACGGAGCAGCCTTTCGGTTAGCAGCCAAGTGTTTAACCACCGCGCCACTAGGGCTCCTTTGTAGATAGTTAGTGCTTAATAAATATCTGTGGAATGAATGAAAGTGGGAAGTAGAAACAGAGTGTCTCATGGTGGAACCATCCACTCTCACTAATGTGTGTACTGACCATCATCTCACTATCCGCCCAGTCTGAAGGAAAGTCCTCTGCTTTGACAGTGTATTCAAGTCGAGCAACATCAAAGAGATTTGTTTCAGGTTTCTCGTTATTCAGGATTGGGTCCAAGTACTTCCAGAAGATTTCAAGTTCTTTTATGGTATTCTCTTTCTTCAGTTTTTCTGCTTGTACATCTAATAATAGCAACACATTTATACTACAAAATGAGAGTGTGAATTTATTTCTGCTTTCAGTAGATACAGTAAGTCATATGCATTGCAAGATGTCTGTACATTACCCAAAAATGCAAATATAGAGTTGTAATTTTGAGAAGTTTTTGGAACTGGAGTAGATAATTATGAAATCAGAGGGTTTTACTTTGGGAATGGATATTAAACATGAGTTTGCCTCATCTCTTCATTTTATAGATGAGGCCCAGAAAAATTATGACAAGATCACACAATTTGGGAGCTAAATACGTTCAGTATTACCATCATTCTTAGACTGTATTTATATAGGACAATAGATCAGTTTTTCTGCCACATCACTTTTTGACCATCTTAGTGTCTGTTTTCTGTATAACTGGTTAGAAATGCAGTTGATCCAGTTCTCCTTCTCAAACGGCTCCAAACAGACTAAATCAACCATTTATGTTTCAGTTAACTTTTGGTAACATTAAAATAACTATAGGCTTCTCTGCGTATTTGGGCTACAATTATAAAATAATAACAGGTTTCTATAAAATTACACACAAAAATCTGCCTGGAATATTTATGTTCATTACATCTATACCTGAACAGTGGGCTCTACTACCAAGATCTCATTATTCTTATGTGAAGTCTATTTTTTATTTTTACATATTAAATATTTTTATAGACAGCCTATGTTTGAAGCTTATGCAGCATATTCTCACTGGCTTCAATAATAAATTATTTAACATTTTAACTGTCCTTTGAGGTACTTGGGAATAGGCTGGGTTTGAATCCCAAATCTTTTACATAAGAGCTGCCTGTAACCTGAGAGTCCTTTTTGGTAAAATGGAAATAATAAAACATACTTCCTAGTGTTGTGAAAATTACACAAAGCCCTTAGCATTGAGCCTACTTAAAGCCCTTAGCATTGAACCTACTTCCAAGGCATGTGTCCAATAAATGATACCTAGTGTTATTATCAGGGACAGCAGTTTCTAACTTTGAACAGCAACTTAAAAAATGCAATGCTATAGAAATGGGAATGTGGCTATGTAAGTCACAAAGCACTAAGCAAATAATATGATTAATAAATAACAATAAAAGTGACAGCATATAGCAGAAAGAGCTTGGACTTCTAGTTTGAACGGGCTTACGCTGAATTCCAGTTCTACTATCTAAAGTATACAGTAGCATTTTCTTCCCTTCCCACAGAAGTAGTCTAGCACAGTTCCCTTAGATAAAGACCCCAAGGCTCAAAAGGGCTGAATGGTAGCATGGTCAGAACTTCTTCCCATGACTTTCTAGTTTAAGACCAGGAAGATAAAGTCTTCTCTCTGACTTATCACAGATAAGCCTGCATCAGAGCAGGGTAAGAATCCGTGGCTCTGACCTCTGTTGGGCCATTTGGTAACTGTGGCTTCTGGAAGAACAGATTAATTACAGTTGCTCCATCCAGCCCATGCCCTAGGTAAAAGTCATGGATCAAATGTTCCTGAGAAATGTAGTTGGATAACCAAGCCTTCTGACCTGCAGTCTATGTTCTCTGTGGCTACACAGGGACATTAAGCACCGAGTATGATTTTAATTTACAAAATTTACAACTCTTGGCTAGTGCAAGCAGAATAAATAGCAAATCAAAGTCTTGAAAGGATTTAATAATGTGTGTATTGTATGACTATGTTTTGGACAGAAAACAGTATTCGTACTTTAAAGATAGTGGGTAGTATCGAAGGATTCAGCTTTAGAACAGTAAGTTGTGTAGCAGACTGCATACCTTCTGGCTGAAGAAAAGCTTCCTGCTGCTGACTAACTGCTGCCAGGTGTGTCTGCAGAGGTTCGTAATTCTCTGAAGATATTTTAATCACGCTGCTTATGGGAACGCCAAGCTCAATCATAATCGCTAATAGTTGAGGATTGTTGAAGCCCACAACTATAATGTAATGCTGGGCACCATCATCTGGCTCATCATCTGCTCAAAATACCATAAAGAAGAGCAGTCATCATTTAAAAGGAGTACAGGTTGCACTTAGTCAGTTAGCCAGTTCAATGGCTATATACATTATACATGCATTTATAATCTCACTGGCTTGCCAAAAACCATCCAGTTGGCTGAAATGCAATCACGTTGACTGCTTTTCATTATTGCCCTTCCAGTAAAAAGGCTGTGGCCACTGTACAAAATGTTAAATCACTTTTGCAATTGAAATGTAGGTGTAATAGGAGGACAAACATACAAGGGGTCCATGGCCATGGAAAATGTGTGCTTGGGTCTTTGTCAAAAAGTTTAGGCTGCAACTTTTTTTTGGTTCTAATCTTTTTTGAACAACGTCTAGCTTTACTCCTGAAATACATGTACTTGCAGCTTTGTGGTTTTATTTTATAAGTAGAAGTGTTTACAGGAGAGGGAAATATTGAAAATGGATGTACTGCCTACAAAAGGATTGTCAATAGGTGTGGGTGCTGAGTATAGATTATGTAACAACTATGTCTTAATTGCATTAAATTTTTTAAATTTATATTGTGCCCTTTTCTAAAATTTTTATCCCCTATTTTGTCCTGGTTATACTGTTTTATTGATATTAAAACATGAGTTTAACTTAAAATGTGATATTCTGGGGGATGAGAATAAGGTTACTTGTAGTTATACTTCAACATTGATAGTACATGAAAACATTATATTTCACAATATCCTCTTAAGATCACCTTATAAATAGTGCAACAAAGGCACGAAGTTTTAGTGATCTGTCTTCTACCACTAAATAAATCAGTGCTCATATGACCCGTGGAATCCATAATGTCATTGTTCCTAAGTCCAGTGGTTTTAAAGCAGAGATATGTGAGAGGATTCAATTGGTAAAGGGTGTCAAAGTCCACCATCTCCTGTAAATACAATGCAGATAATAATAGGTAACTCCATTTGGGTTCAAGTGACAAGGGCAATGAATTACTTATAGCTGCCTACCTTGGTTTAATCATTTTTATATCAATAATCTAAAAAGAAAAATTTCTAGTTGCTCTATCTAGGACAAATTGATAGCGGGAAAAGTTGGAGCCAGGAAGCTATATGTTCTGGATGAGTCACACATGAGTTGGTCTGATTTTATTACACTGAATCTGTATTTCTCTCATGACAAGAATCACTTTGCATTATAATTATGCATAAATTTCCTTTATGTCCCCAACAAAATACTAAGCTTCTTGGGGGCACAACCGACTTGCTATTTCACCTTTTATTAGCACTATGTGAATGTGCCTAGCAAGACACATGCTGAATAAATATATGTTGAAAGCATAAATGAATTGCAAATAGAGATATTTTTCTATTAGGGTGTCATGGGCAATAAGAGAGTTATGGTTTTATACAGAGTGAAAAGGCTGGAAAAGATTAAGCATAGTTATTGGAATGATTTCCCAAGTTACTTCATAGGTTATAAAGCAAGAAGTTAAAGGTAACCAACATAAGAAGCATCTTACTGACCAATGTAATGTTTGGTGTCATCTTCTTCTCCCCTCCGTTTTAACTCGGTGGACTTTTTCACTGTTGCGTTTGCCTCAGGCTGCTCCTTTCCCTTTCCTCCTCCTCCTTTGGCAACCTTGGCACTTGGGGCCTTCTTCTCTTTGGGAGATTTTCCTTTCCCTTTATCCTTTTCTAACTTATATCTGTCTTCTACCACCTGGAAAGAGAAAATAATTTTTTGCTTTTTCTCCAAATCATATAGTGAACAAACAATGGCTTTTCTACTGTCAAGTGAATTAATTCTTCCTGTATTTCACTCAGTTGATTGTTTATTCATTAGTTTTTCATTTATTCATTCGCCAGGTGAGGATAGTGGAGATCCCAGTTTGAGTCCAAGTTGTCATACAAACATATTTGCACTTGAGGACTGGATGGATGGGTGCCAGGAGGTTGTTTACATAAGGAGCCTTCTGGAAGAGAATTCATCTTAAGGAAGAGTTACCAAAAAACAAAAAACAAAACAAAAAAGCAAACTCGTTGCTATCGAAGCAATTCCAACTCATAGCAACCCTATATGACAGAACAGAACTGCCCCACAGGGTTTCTAAAGAGCAGCTGGTAGATTCAAACTGCGGACTTCTGGTTAGCAGCTGAGCTCTTAACCACTGCCCCACCAGAGCTCCAAGGGAAAGTTAAATGTGGCCTAATAAACCACTTCAGTTGTTTGGTAGAGGGGGAGCGAGGAGGGAGGATGATTCTGAATACATTATGGTGTCAGGAATTCAGATTTATCTTTTGGCCCAACCCTGGGGAGCTCTTGTCTGAGTCTTAGACGTGGATGGGGTTGTTCATTTAAAACAAAACAAAGATTAAAAAAAAATGAAAACAGAAGGAAGAGTTTTCTCTAAAATCTCTGTGATAAAGTTTTTCATAGTTAAGTAATGCACTGACCATTTTTAAAGGTTAAAAATTATTTTGGAAACCGAGCACTTTTTGTTATAATGCTACTTACGTATGTACAGATATAACTAACGGTTGCTAGTCAATGCATTCAAAGATGAAATTGGCACAAAACATCAGTTGGCAACATGAATTCTCTACACACTGCTCTGGAGTGTGCTTAGATTGCTACTGTCCATGTAAACACCCAATTTCCCACCATATTTTTCTTTTTAAATGATTACCAAAACCTTTGTGCAGTATTTCATAATGTAATTAGGCTTTCAATTAGTGTACTTATAAATACAAACAGTTGTGTTCATTGAAATAATATGGCAGTACTTGATCATAAGGTGGTCCATCCAGAAGATCCAGAACATGCCTATATCGTTATTTTTTCCATACTCAACAAAATTGAAAACAAGATTAAACTAATTATTGTAGCAACATCTTGGATTCTGATACCTACTTCTTTCCCTGAGGTTGTGAGTTCTAAGTTTGAAAAACTCTGCTCTAAGACATTGAGGGGCAGAGTAGAAGGCATATTGCTTTGGCACCTACCCAACAGAGTGTAACACAGAGGGGAGAGGAGCATTTTTCCTATTCCATGTGGCCTCTGGATGTTGAGGGCTCTAGAGAATCCAGTTCTGCTTTGGCACGCAGGGCTAATGTCAGTGGTGCCTTGCATTCTCCACCTGTACCTAGCCCTGTTGCTCTAGAGATGGTGAACTTGCAGCACCCCCAGCACCTATTCCTCAGCAGCAGAGGGAAACATGAGCAGAGGCTGGAGGTGTCACTCACAGTCTTAGGGTGGAGACAGGCACAGAACCATGAAAGGATGTCATAAGTTCTAAAAAAGAAAGACAAGTTCAACGTGGACAGATAATATGGAAGTGGTAAAATCAACACCTTAGCAATGCTGGAGGAAAAGATAAAAAGAATATGTTCCTAGGTTGGAAGTAGAGGTTAAGGTCGACAGCTCTGTGCCAGATTGCAAAAGGGGATGAAAGGGAAGGAGGACATTGTCAAAATCAAGCTTGCCAAACTTCCCTAATGTTTCTGTTACCTTAGCTCCATGACACTAGTGAATAATCTCAACCATAAAGTATCAGACAGAACAGAAGTTTTGAAAATGTGTGGGATATCAGTATTCATTTAGTCACTTGTTCATTCGATGGCTGTTTTTCAGAGTTTCAGTTGTTGTGCCAGGTTTACTCAGCAACAGAGGGAAACATCAGCAGAGGATGGAGGTGTCACTCACAGCCTTGGGGTGGAGGCAGAGAGGAGAGCACAAGGTAAGGTGTAGTACTATGAAAGGGCCCCAGCATTTCTCTCTGTACCAGGTATAAGTTAGTGCACAATGCAGGGCTGGGCTCTGCCCTCTTGAGCTCACAGTCTACTGGAAGAGAAAGAGAAAAACCACATAAACAAAAAGATAAAAATATAACTAAAAATTTTAATGAATGTGAGGAAGAATAAATTACAATGTAATAATAGAAACATGGTAGAGAAGGTGACATTTGAATGAAGACCTGAAAGATAAGTTCATCCATGTGAGAAGCAGGGAAATAGTGAAGTGTGTATGTGAAGGCCCTCAGGCATGGAGGAGCTTGGTGTGTTTAAGGAACTGAAAATATATGAGTGTAGAAGGAGAATAATCAGCAAGAGGGTGAAGCAAGATGAGGTGGGGAAAGCAGGGCAGAGGCCAGGTCCTCCAAGGATTTGGAGGCTGAGGAAGAAAGTTTTATATTTTATTAAAAATGCAATGGGAAGACCTTAAAGGTTTTAAGTGAGGGGAATAGTGTAGTCTTGTAAGATTGGAAATAAAAAAGCCAGTAAGAAGATTCTAGCAATAGGCCAGATAAGAGCTAATAGTAACTCAGATTAAGGTGTTGGCAGAATGGAGAGAAATGGATGCACTTGAGATCTATGCTGGATGTTGAAACCAGGGCTTTGAACCGGTTCTTTCCAGTTTGACCCCCTGCTGAGAATTTGCATTTCTACCCCACATATACTGAATCAGAAACTATATTTAACAAGATCCCCATGTGATTCTTATGTATACATAAAAAGTTATACATAAGAATATATAAGTATGTCTACATTTTAACAAGATCCTAAAATCTACATTTAATATGATCACCAGGTGATCCTTATGTACACATACGAACACATAAATATACATATGTATACATAAGAATTGTCTGGATATCTTGTTAAAATGTAGATTCTGATTCAATATATCTGGGGTGGAAATGCAAATTCTCAGCAGGGGGTCGAACTGGAAGGAACCAGTTGGAAGCCCTGGTTGAAACTGCAGGAGTTACTGAAAGATTAGATATAAGAAGTGAATTAAGGAGGCAATATCAAAGATAATGCCCTGGATTTTTGTTTGAAAAACTGGGTGGTTGATGATGCCATTTATGGAGAAAAAGAGAAATGGTTTTCCACTGGTCCTACCCCATCTGGAGGAAGGGAGAATGAATACTAAAGACACAAGGGAAAGATTAGTCCAAAGGACTAATGGACCACAAGTACCTCAGCCTCCACCAGACTGAGGCCAGCACAACTAGATGGTGCTTGGGGCTACCACCACCAGCTGCTCTGACAGGGATCACAGTAGAGGGTCCCGGACAGAGCTGGAGAAAAATGTAGAACAAAATTCTAACTAACAACAACAACAAGAAGATCAGACTTACTAGTCTGACAGAGACTGGAGAAACCTTGAGAGTATGGCCCCGGACACCCTTTTAACCCAGTAGAAGTCACTCCTGAGGTTCATCCTTCAGCCAGAGATTTGACAGGCCCATAAAACAAACAATAATACCCATACTTCAACCATGTATACAAGACTAAATAGGCATACCAGCCCAGGGGCAAGAAAGAGAAGGCAAGAGGGGACAGGAAAGCTGGACAAATGGAAACAGGGAACCCAAGGTCAAGAAGGGGAGAGTGCTGACACATTGCAGGGTTGGCAACCAATGTCACAAAACAGTATGTGTATTAATTGTTTAATGAGAAACTAATTTACTCTGTAAACCTTCATCTAAAACACAATAAAAAAAAGTGTTAAAAAATAAATGGTTTTTACTTAAGGTAGGTGGGCTATTAAGAGTGGTTATGTTAAATTTGAGATGCTTGTGAGATGTCAAGGAGGCATTTGAATACATATGTTCTCTTCTCAAAAGAGATATTTGGCTGGAGTTACAAATTCAGATGTGGGTAACATACAATATTAATTAATTGGATGCAAAGATAAGCACTCACCTTGGGTGAGAGTTCTTGAGAAATATGAGAATTTATCTTGGGATCAAGCCCTGAAGGAAATCCAACATTTACCAGTTGGGTATAGAAGGAGATTCCAGCAAAAGAGATGGAGGAGAGGCCAAAAAGCTAGGAGAGAGTGTAAAGCTAGAGAACTAGGAGCTGAAAGGGCAAAAACAAAAACAAAAACCAAGCATTGGAAGTTGTAGGTCACAACGTCAAGAACAGTTAAGGTGGAGTGTGTTGGCAGAAGCTAGTCTGAAGTGAGTTGATGAGAGAATGGGATGTAATGATAGGGACCACTTGTGTGGACAACTATTTTGAAAAGTTTGCCTGTGAAGGGAAACCAGAGCTCTGAGTTGTTACAGTGGATGTGGGGTGATGTGAGGTTAAGGTCCATCTATATGTATGTAAAGTTAGGAAAAGTTGTGTTTTGGGGCTTATGGAATGATCCAGTAGAGAGGGAGACACTGAAGGCATGGGAAAGATTAACGTCCTTGAGGAGGCAAGATGGGGAAAGACCAAGAGCATGTGTCAGTGACTGGTCTTTGATAGGGGGAAAAAAAAAACAAAAAACAAAAAAAACCAACCAAACTCTCCGTTGAGTTGATTCCGACTCATAGTGGCCCTAAAGAACAGAGTAGAACTGCCCCATAGAGTTTCCAAGAAGAGCCTTGTGGATTCAAACTGCCGACCTTTTTGGTTAGTGGCTGTGGCTCTTAACTACTACACCACCTGGGTTTCCTCTTTGATAGGAGGAGAGACATTTTCTCAATTTAATAAGAGCAAGGAGAGGATGGGTGACTGGGATCAGATGCAAGAAAAGGAGAGCCCTTCATGATGCTGAGGAAGTATTTAAATTTTATCAAGTGACCTTGTGAGGCAAAGTCATCAACTTAGGATGGTCAGGTAAGAGGTAGGAGGTTTGAATAAACAAGATAATGTACAGTCATTTCAGAGAGTAGAAGAGCAAGCATACTATAGAAATATGGAAGGATTCTGACAGTGATGACA